GAACTGCCGATTGATAGCTTGCTGGGCGGCTGCAGCACAGGGAACTTAGGGGAGTAGGAAGCTGATAGGGGGGCTGCTGGTCCACCCTGGTTACAAGCCCCCACCAGCTAACTGCAATGGACTGCTCTTCCTGCAAGCAGTGGACAAAGCAAGCGGCTGCCAAACAACGTTAGAAGGGAGCATTGCACAACTTTAAACGAGCATGTTCCCTAATTAATCAGCAACGTAACAATGTTAACCGGGACGACTTTAAGTGAGGAGTTACTGTAATGGAAAGGCTCATTTGTTTTGTTTTTATAATAATAAAAGCCATTTTTAAAGAGAATGTTACACAAATTCCAGTTAAAAATCTGGTCTAACAAGAAATGGTTTAGATTCTGATCTTGCACCATTTTATACTGCTGAACATTACAGTGATAAATTCATGGAGGAGGATAGGTCCATCAGTGCCTATTAGCCAGGATGGGCAGGAATGGTGTCCCTAGCCTGTTTGCCAGAAGCTGGGAATGGGCGACAGGAAATGGATCACTTGATGATTACCTGCTCTGTTCATTCCCTCTGGGGTACCTGGCATTGGCCACTGTCAGAAGACAGGATACTGAGCAAGATGGACCTTTGGTCTGACCCAGTATGGCCGTTCTTATGTTGACTTCAGTGGATTTACCCTAGATTTACACTGAATGGGAAAGGAATCAGTCCCCACGAATATCTCCACTATAGCACAGCCAGAAATTGTAATACAAAACTTGAAACTGACTAAAGTGTCCTGCTGCTACTTGGCTCTTTGGAAATCAAGCTCTCCACTGCCTGAAGATCAGAGACTCTAGTTTAAACTCCTACATTTTTCACTAACCATATCAATAATGCCTTTTCCTGCAGTGTTGATACTAGAAGCAAACCAGATGCTGAACTCATGGTGGAAACAAAAACAGCTGAAGACTTTCCAAACCCTCTCAACAGCAGCGATGAAAGCACAGGCAGCTGGTCCCAGCTCGTTAATGATGAGGACAATCCTGATGATACAAGTAGCTACTTGCAACTCAGTGAGAGATCCATGAGGTATCTGCATTCTATTTGTGTTTGTTGTACAATAGGGACTAATCACCAAGCTAAAGGTTTGATGATTGTGTGTCAGGAATGTGAGAGACGCGCAAGGTGTAATCAGAATGTACAGAAACAGAACTAGCTACAGAACGTGTCTTTTGTTTTGCAGTGCAAGTTCTGGTTCTTAGCCAGGTCTTTGTATACATTAGTAGCTAGAATCTTACACAGAAAGAACTACTCAACCCCAAGCAACTGCATCATGCCCCTACAATGAAAGCACCATTGGACAAACTAATTACTGTGAACTATGAATTGTTTTATCTACTGCTGCTTGCAAACATGCTTATTCAGGCATCTTCTTGAGTAATTTACATTTTAGGATGTTGTACAGAGCTCTCTGTTGATTGGGATGAACACAGAGTAAAAAATTACAGCCATTTTGTGACTGGGTTTGTATGGGAGCACAGGAAGTTTCTCCTTTCCCTAGAGTCCCTAGATAGGGACAGCTTCGATGTAGCTAAAGGGAGTAGAGGGTCTAGACGAGGCCAGCATCACTGGTAGCATTAGAGTGCACAGCCGCCTCTGTACCCACACAGCTGACCAGCACAGTGGGAGCAAATTCTTAAAGGATGAGAGAGTGTCTGTTACGGTGTGCCCTTTTCTGAGTTAGCAGGTGCAATTGTAGCTGACTTGGCATATTTTTTTCTTGGGATTGCCACTATAGTGCCCCACAGTCTGCATCCCTCTCAAGGCCAGACTTGTCAAAAAAGTCATCTCGCTCTTAGAGTTTATATACAATTACGTTAGTCTGACTGACCTCAGCCCTTTAAAGATTTACTATTTACTAAAAGCTTTTCTCAGGTAAAGCTAACATTTTTGCCTGTTAACCACATCACTCTCCTCAGCATTGTGAAGACAAAGGGGAAAGTACTATATTGGGGCGGGGAAAAGCAGAGAGTATCTGAATGTCATATAGCATTGCTGGGTTAGTTGAAAGAATGTTGAACTGGGCTATGTATATGAGTTTGGGTGAATGTGCATCTCATTATGTACATGGGCCCAGCCTTTAACAAATTCTTAAATGTGAGAAAACTAATATATTGTGCCTCATGGCTCTTCCCACTGAGAAATCAATGCAGTAAGCTAGAGTGCACCAATCATTAACACTCTGACTTTGTAAAAGTTGATGGCAAGAGGTACTGCATAGTCACTATTTTGGTGTGAGAAAAATACTATAGGAGTTTTAATTGAAACAGTTTCAATTAAACTGGTTCAATTTCACCCCTACTACATAGGATAAAAAATTCTCCATTGTTGGTGTTAATATGCACTGGGGTCAGTAAATACACAGCATCTGGTTGTATAGTTATGCGGACAGAGTGATAATCGAATTTATGATGGTGTCATACAGTAAAAAGGCATTATCTTATCAAACATCCTGAGATGGAACGATTCATTCTTGCAAGGTAACCCAAGAGAATGCTTCCAAATATTATTGATCCCACTGAAAACATTGGCCCTGGTTGAAATCTCAGTCTATTTCATACTGGACAGCAAGACAAGACAGATTGTCATTATACCTGTAAATTCCATCAGATTCCCTGCAGTGTTCAGATGGCATGATTTACTGCACTGAAAGAGCCGCCTGTGTTATGAGTATGGAGTTACCCAGAAGGTAAGTAGTGAGGCAGGCAGAGAGATACCTTGCCTTACCCCACCATGTTCAGAGGTATTTGAATCTCCGCAGGTGTACCCAGGACATCTCTAACTACTTGATAGTCGTGCTGTATAAAAACTCATGCAGCTTGTTTTTCTGTCAAAGGTTAGATGTTGGACTAAAATTCACATATCACTGCATAAGCCATTAACAAGATTGGGTCCATTATTTGTTTTCAGTTCAGAGTATCACTGGATACTTGACTCATCTAGAATTATTTTAAACATGTCAGTATCCTTGTTCCTGGGAATCATTTATTGAGCAGGATTGGAGTAATATGCCCTGGTTTTGTGTAACCTGGGTTTAGAGCAGTAACTCTGTATACCGGGGGACATCACATTCACTTTTCTTTGCACATTAATTAGAAAATGTATGGATCTGTGGTAGTGCAGATTGGCACTAATATTTAAACTTTTGCTTTGTCAGCAATGGCAACAGCAGTACCACTAGCAGTCTTGGCATTATGGACCTGGAAATTTATCAGGAAAACATGCCCTCTTCTCCTATGATTAAGTAAGTAGCCACTAAAATGAAGTCTAATATTTAGAAGTACTATTCCAATTTCAGCTGAAAATCATTTATATCATCCAAAACGTGCCAAACACCTGCTTATCAGTGCTTCTAAGATGCTGTTTAAGCTGTCATTAGTCTTAGATAAATGCACATGCAGGTACCCTTATGCAGAGTGACGGTACTAGCTTATGGTTAGGCTGTTCCTGGTGGACACCTTGAAGGATATATATCCACCATGTGCTTTGTTTAAAGATAGAATTAACTAAGTTATCCACTTCCCATTATGTAAACACTCCTCAAAAAATAACTTTCTCAAAGGCTTCTCCTAATAGCAGTTAAGATCAGGATAGCAGAGTCAATTAATTTAAGCCAAGGAAAGAGAAATCATAACTTTCTTTACAAGAAGATGTATAATTTGGCCCAAGACACTCCTTATCCACTGTCTCTGGGCATGATTCTACCAAGCTTGCTCAAGAGCAATAAAGTTATAAAGAGATGTACAAGTACCTGCCTAAAGATTCTAGTACCCTGAAACATGGTATAACCTACTGGTAAGTGGTAGAATGCAGTGGTATAATTGTAGAAATTAGTATACTGTACCTCATGCAGAGAAGATAGGCTCTTTGCAAAGTCACTGTGAGCCCCAGAAACTCCTCACAATCTACTAATGGATCACAATCCATTTTAAATCACTGAGGATCTAGCTTCTCCTGCTATATCCAAAAATTCTGACCTTTTTGATATACCCATATGCCAATCACCTTTCTGTAGAATTGTAAATATTCTGTTTCAACTGAGGATGGTAGCCATAATAAAACATTTACACCTTTCTGCCAACACCATGGAGTGCTGACTGCTGCCCACAGACACTGCAAATTGACGCCTTTCACTTACATATGAAGTGCCTGTAGAACTAAGTGTTCTCAATCACTAGCCAGCTACTGGTGAATTTACCAGATGCCAGCCAAGAAACTTGAGATTCTGTGAAGACAGAGGTCAGGAAAGGGAAGAAAAATAAGGCAATCTGTAACTACAAAAGCAAGGATCAGACATAGAATAGATTGATATTGAAATAGAAGATCTAAGAAGATTTTTAATTGTAGAGTTATGAATGGTGTACATATGCCAAGGAATTGCCTTACACTCATGATAAACCATGCAGTGAATACTGCCATTTTAACCTTTTCCCCATATATGGCAGTGGCTACCAAAAAAAATGTATATGATCTTGCTTCCATGTAACTTTCCATTTAAGACTGGGATTTTGCAGTCTTTTTGAGGGGGATAATAGTAGTTCTAAAAGCCAAATGCTACCCATGCACAATTTCCCTTGATTAAGTAGAGGATGGGATCCTATGTAACTCTATACAGTGGATGCTATACCTCTGCAAATATCACTGCAAATATCAAGTGGCTGTAACTTTATTACCAGATGTACAGCCTTCTGCAATATGTAGATAGTGGGGACCTACTCCTCCAAAAGGGAGGGTGGGGAGCACGGGGTTCTGTGACACTGAATCTGGAGTTTTCCCCCTGCTGTCTACCAGGAAAGCATAGTGGTACATATGAAATGAGGACCCAATGACATTTTTGGAAGATATTGAAATAACCCAGTTATCAAAACAGAGCTGATATGCTAAAAAAATGACAGTTCCTGAAGCCACTAGTTCATTATGGTTACATACAGCTAAGACAGGTATAAAAAGAAGGCAAGATTTAAAAAGATGCAGCATGGGTGGCACATGTCACAAGACTTGTAGTTTCTTAGCCTGATTACACAAAGGGCAACAGTAACGATATATTGATTTTCATGAAGTGTGATGTACAAGGCACTCTGCAAGCAGTATGTCATACTGTGGGGATAACATTGTGTAGCATGTACCCTGATTCGCATCTCTCCCCAGACTGTTTATCATTTTTGCAACATTAGAGATTAAAATTTTACATTATAAGACAAATTCATCACCTCAACTCTAATGAAACAATGCTTTACACTGTTCCTAATATTACTAACAGGCTTTGTTGTTGTTTTGTTTCTAAGTGAATTAGCAGAAGAAAAGGCTTTCCTTAAAGAACAGCCAGAAAACATAGAGGGTAAGTGGAATTGTATCAGTTATGACATAGAAATTTGACTTGATGTAGGGCTTCTAAGGTTAATACACATAATTGCATAGTGACTCCTTTTTCAGAAAGCACTTCTGGACTATCAGTGGAAACAGCCAATTGTCAAAAAGACCTACTGGTGATAAACTTTGACCTGGAGCCAGAGTGCCCAGATGCAGAGCTACGAACCACTCTTCAGTGGATAGCGGCTTCTGAACTTGGAATACCAACCATCTATTTTCAGAGATCTCAGGAAAACAGAATTGAAAAGGTAGTATTTACAGTGTAGGGCATAACATCAATGTACTTTAACCTCTGAACTGTAAATCAAAAGTTTGTAATGACAACAAAAATGCTTCCCAGCTGTTGTATATAGCTCAAAAGAATAATCACTTAAAATGAAAAGAACAGGAGTACTTGTGGCGCCTTAGAGACTAACAAATTTATTAGAGCATAAAATGAGACCTCCTCAAATAGAGAACAGTATACACCAGTGAAGCAGATTTCACCTATTCAGGTCAGCCATTCCATTGCATGAAAGTGACAGCTGCATAAATCAGGACAGAGTTAACAAAAAAAGACCCTTAATGAGGATGTTCTTGGACAGTGCCAAGTGGTTACATGGAGTTTAACAAGCACCATGCAAGGTCTTAGTCTCCACTTAGGTCCCACTTAAGCCAGTTGGGGAAAATCCTGATCCCACTGATGTCAGTGGCAATAGGAGCAGAATTTGATATGGGACATAGAGTAGTGCATAAGACTTTGCAGGGATCCCATACGTTGAGGTAAATTTCACTTCCAAAAACTGAAAGAGGGCCTTGTTTACCAGTGCTTCACTTGGCATTGGTCCCGATAGTGGCTCTACACCAACACTGAACCGCCCCTATTCCAGGGCCACCCTGCTTCAGCCCAACACATTAGAACTACCTCAGACATGACTGAGCTTGTGACTAGTTGCCCAAAGACCCAAGGAGCAATTCCTGCAGATGGGAAGAGTTGGAGCACAGCTGTGTGCTGAGCATACCTCCTTTTCCACAGCCACACACACTCAGAGAACTTCCCCTGTGGGCAGATCCATTGGCTTTATAGACCCTTTGTGCTAGTGAAGCTGCAGCACAGTGAAGACCTGGACCCCCAGATTTCAAATATACAAGAAAATGCACTCTAGTGACTAGAACTTCCATTTATTGTTTATTCTGCACAATGATTAGGGTTTTTTCAAGACTTTTCAGACTGTTTTATAAAATCCATAACAGCCTCTCCTCTGAATATGAGTGTTTAATTGCAACAATCAGCTTTCCACAAGGGTACCTACCCCAGTTAAAACTGATAGTCCTGCAGGACTGGGGCTTTAGCTACTAATTAAACATCACTTTTGCCAGCCACCTTTGTGAAGGCATAACTATCTTTAGATGGAGAAGCAGACAGATTTTAAACCTTTTCAAGTTTCATTATGGGGTTTTTCCAAAGCATCAAAGCATGCAAGCTCAAAATGGCCTCCAGCACTGTGGGCCCTCAGCTACATGGAGGATGTTTCATATTCCAAGGGCTTGCTTACTCCCCCTTAATGATAACCACAGGATGCCATTTCAGACAGTTTATGACTGCCAAAACTGTCCCTTTCCCAGGGTCAGCATTAAAGGTTCCATCCAGCCACCAAGTTTACAAAAATGTCAGGGTATTTAAATAAATCAATGAAAGAAAAAATATTACAGTCAATATTTTGGTATTTTAAAATAATATCTCTGGGAAGATCATTTTATGTAGCAGAGATATTGTTTGGTATGTCTTGAGTACATGCATTTGGGAATCACAAACATAATTTAAAATGCATTCAGCAGCAACTGTCCAAATTGCATCTTATTTAAGAAGCAGCTGTCAGCTTTACTCATGTGCTTTTGCAAACAGTTAATTCAATTGCTAAAATGCACTAGAGAATAATGAAGTACATCCTGCCTACAAAGCTGCTCTTGGAAATCACGTGCTTATTACATATAATTAAAATACATATTAAAGTTTGGGACTCAGTATGTAAATAGCAAACAGCTACATGAGCTACAGATACACAATATTTTCTTGTGTGGTTTTAAACTGGAAGATGTATAAAATGGAGCCTAATTAGTTATTGATTGTGAAATTCAAGAAAATGAAAAGCTTTGATTTTCATTTCCAAGCCTGAAAAAAGATAGGCCAGATGCATGACATTATGAAGTCCTTTATTAAAATAGGAAAGCACAAAAGTGGATACAATGTAGGATTTTTTCCAGCTGTTTAAGACTATAAATTAAATGTAACTAAACAAGAATACTGACTATGATAATGAAAGAGAAAAAGTATTTTTCCTTCAAATCTAAACTCTTCAGGTTGGATCCCTGGGGTTGTACAAGATACAGTACCTAAGATTTTGATAATGGGCTGTCAATATCATGGAAGGTTGTAATTATTTATCAGGATTAAAGATCTCACATAGCTGTAAACAGGAATAACTTCACTAATTTCAGCAGAATTGCTCTTGATTTAACTGGTGTCATTAAGAACAGAATCTGGTCTCACAGATTATAGACTTTGAAATGCAAAGTTTCCAGATGTCCAAAAGTAGACAACTTTCAGATTCATATTTTATAGACAGACCCCTCAGCATATTGCAGTGCTATTGTGTGTACGCAGTGCCTGAAACAGTGGCGTTCTGATCCCTGGCAGGGCTCAGTAATGTCATCATACTCTGAAGAGTTATTTGCATGTGTTTATTTAACAAAAGCTGGTTAAGAATACACAATGAATGAAACCCTAAATGTGCCATTTTATCTAGTTTCTAGATGTCATGCGGTTAGTTCACCAGAAGTCCTGGAAAGTGGGTGATATCTTTCATGCGCTGGTACAATACTGCAAGCTACATGAGGAAAGCAGGGAGAGGACACCTAGCCTCTTTGACTGGCTTCTCGAATTGGGATAAGAAACCTCGTAAATGTTTGGCATTTTCATTTTAATCCAGCTTAAGTGGCAGTGGTTTGTGTAATGCTCTAATTTTCAAACGTCAGTGCATAAAACGAGCAGAGATATAGAAACTCTGCGGACAGTGCACACAACTGTACACTGAGCAAAGTGAAATCAAGATGCACCATATACTGTTATATCATGTGGGAGAACTTTGACATATTGTACTTTCGGATGTACTGTATTAGGAGAGGATGGGTGTTTTGCCTTTGAAGTGAATGGATAATATGAAGGATGGATGAAAATAGGATATATTTCTATAATCAAATATTCTATTAATATCCTTTAATTATTTCAATCAACTGAAATGGAATTATACACTAACAACATTCACTTTTTAAAACACTAATATGTGTACAGGTTAACTATTAGAACGCTAGTGTTTTCCAGACGGACAGCCAAATGAATGCATAGGAGGATGTGCATCTTTAGATAAATAATATAGATATAGATATATAAGTATTTTTTAAAATCCTCACCGTGTCTAAAGGGGTAGAAGACTTTGAGCTATTAGACCTTTACAGGTAGATGATACAATAACAAGCTGCTGAAAATGCATTATAATTTTCTCATGTGAGACCACTTATTTCTTCTCCATAGCCTTTCACCATTCTTGTGTTTTTCTGGAGGAACTCTCAAATATTACTCTTTAAAAACATTCTGATTCATTTCCATTTTAATCAGAGGCAGTTTGGACCAGTGGATAATCAGAAGATATGGGTTCTATCCCAGCTCTGACCTGCTGTGTCACCTTGAGAAAGTCACAGCACCTTTGTGCCTCAGTTTCCCTATCTGAAAAGGGGGTGATGACAGTTACTTTCTTATGAAAGTATCTTATGCTTTAAGATCTATGGATAAAGAGCACTATATAACAGATTATATAATTGTTAGTCTAATTTAATTGATTATTAAAAAGAAAAATCAACTGAGCATAATCCTACCTGAAAAACCGATTGTATTGTCATACACATATCTAAACTTTAATTTTGTTTTTGTTACTTACAAAAATACAAAATGATTCTTAGCACCTATAAGCATTTGTTTACCTTAGGGCTACCTGCTCATTTTGGATATATATGTTTGGTTAAAAATGACAGTTCATGTTATTACAGTAACATTGATATAACTACAGTAGACTGCTGTTGAGAAGAACAGTTAGTATTATATACGTAATTATAAATTCTCTTGACTCTGCCAAAGAGATTGGTTTTGAATTTAAAGGGGAAAAAACAGCTTATTGCAGCAAAGCTCCTATTGTTTGAATTTCACATATACTGTGATTTGCTTCTTTGAAAACACAAACATTCCTTTTTTGTTTTCCCCTACACTAAATGATGTAAGAGAAATTCTACCTGTATTTCCCTGATAAAATTATATGAAAGAGATCGTTTACTTTCCTTATATCAGTATATGCTTCTGTAATTTTTCCTGAAATAATTATCATTTTGCACTAAATATTTTTGAAAATTTTGAAATAGTTTTAAATAAATTATGAAAAAGAGCCATACTATCAGTGTTAACATCATTAAATCCATTTCCACCCTCTCACACTCATTTGTTAGGGAAAAGATTTGTCAGTGAATCATTATCTATATCTATGTGATAAAGGTACATGGCTAACCCTACATTTACTCTACAGTATACACAAAACAGTCAAGGTCACTTTATTGCCAATATAAAGGTTGATCTACTATATACACTAAATTGAACTGTCCAGCTGTTGGGCCTGTTCCTGAGAAGTGTCGAAGGTCCACAGCTCCAATTGATGCCAGTGGAAGTTGTGGGTACTCAGCATCTCGGAGAGGCTGACTGTTAATAACATACGTATTGAGTGTTACAGATTGAAAGTACTTTGTTTGTTCTAATAAATGGGAAAAGGTATTTATTTTTAGACTAAATCCAGTTAGTTGTCAGTATACGAACTTTTGCTGTGCTAGAATAAATGTTTACTTACCCTACAAAGCACAACGATCATGACTGGGTTGTAACAGTGTGATGAAGTTACTTCTGTACAGTAGTTCTTAATGTTGCAATCTAATCAGAAATAAATTTGTGTTACAGTACGTGTCCCCTTTGCCTTTCTAAAAGGTGTTGCTGTGTTTTTATTGCCTATTGGAAATGGAAACTGTGTAATACATTTTATTTGACCAACTAAACAATATTCATGGCAATCATTTAGCCTTCCCAAACCTGCTTTCCTGAACGCAAAGTTGAGGTCGCTCATCACCACCCCTAGTTTTATTTATTTATGGTCTAATTTTCAAAAGTGCTGCTCATCTCTAGTGCCCACTGACTTCAGTGGGATTTGTAGCTGCTCACCTCTGAAAATCAAGCCACAACTTATCTCTCTACTTGTAGCTCTGTTTTAAAAAGCGATGGAGTGGGTGATTAGATCTTAACAGATATCAGAAGCCAAACAGGGTCAGACTTGGCATTATATTGATGTGTACTTTTGTAAGAGGATCAGTTGCAATAGGAAGTGAATCAGTAATAAACCAATATCCCTGCACAGTATGAGAAGGCGCTGTTCTGCTGGAGGTATTGTCCTACTGATAAAACATTAACCTGTTTATACTAAGGTTATATGCAGGTTAGTTGTAGCCATATCAGTTCCAGGATATTAGAGAGACAAGGTGGGTGAGGTAATATCTTTTATTGGACCATCTTCTGTTGGTGAGAGAGAGACAAGCTTTCAAGCCACACAGAGGAGATCTTCTGTTCTCTTCTGTTGGGCCAGTAAAGATATTACCTCACCTTCCTTGTCTAGACTAAGGTCACACAAGTCTAAAAAAGGAACTGTTAGACCCACAGAGAGTGTCTAAATTCTGCTCTGAAATTTCAGTTTAGTGAGTAATTAGCCTCACTCGTCCAGCTCCACACAACTCTTGAGCAATGGGCTGGCAACAAACTAGCGAGCAATATTAACGGTTTAAACCTTAAATTAAAATCTTAAAAGTGGGTGAACTTAAGTAACTGTCACTAACTTGTAATTTATTCTAACATGCTTAGAGACCCGTGTCTATGCAATGTTATATTCATGTTATACCTTTAACTTCTCATTTAAGAATGGGTTCATTTTCATTTCCATTCAGAGAACTGGGGCTTTGCTGAAGTTCCAAGTTTTATTCAGATCACACGGGACCTGATCCTGAAATGCTGAGCACCTATACCGCCATTGAAATATATGGGAGGTAAGTGCTCATTGGGGTCTCAGGATTAGGCTCAGAATAACCACAGCTACGCTCTCTCCTTTTTCGCTCAGTGCAGGAGGGATGCAAGAGCTAAACCAGGTTTCTTATTGTCATTGGTTAAGCAGTGCAGAAATGCCTGAGTTTATTTAATTGTCACAAATGCTGCATACTCCTAATGGTCAGGTGTAAAAAAAGCCTTTCCCACTGCTGAACAGAAAAGGAAACCCAAGGTCAGGCTTAACTGGGTTGGGAAATCAGAATGGTGGTTGGGGGTGGTGTCCACTATCAAAAAGTGTGCTGCAAAATTACAGTGAATTTTAAATGTAATGAGCAATGATGAAATTCACCAGAAAGGAGAACACCATATTTTATGGAGCTTCAGCTAATGCCGGCAGCCTACACTTGGACTGAGATCACTATAGCTCCTCAGCATGTGGCTCTGCCTAATAATTCTGCCTTACCCGTACATAGGTTCGAGGGGGAGGATGCAGGAAGTCTTCTTATAGTTCGTTCTTCCGTTCAGTCTACTGCACACCCACGTAAAGAGGAGGCAGAATCTGGCCTGCATTAAAATTCAATGAAGTTTATAGTACTCCCTGTCTGAGTATAGTAGTAACTCCTCAACATAAGTTAGGATGGCAGAATTAAGCACTTAATTCTTAATTAAGCCAGATCTTGCTGCAGCACTGGTAGTCCTAACATTTGCATGGGAATTTAATTTTCACTAATATGTAGGGTCTGGTTTTTTTATGTTTAGCATCCTTAATTTCTGATAACCCAAACTCTTCCTAATATATTGTGCTAACATCAAAGATTGTCTTCTCACAAATCTTTGCTAAATTAACCAAGGCTGAAAACATTTTACTGTGGCTCAAGGTATGAATGATTATGATCTGCCTACAGTCAGCCTATTAAATTCAGGATTTATTTGTTTCCAGAGGCAGGTTTTGCTGCAGACACCGCCTGTTTATCTTGCATGGCCTTAGTACAGGGTTGTATAACCTGCAGAGAATGACTGTTACCATGAATCATGTATTCTAGTTTTCAGAATGTCAGGGAGACTGGTCAGGGATATGATCAGAGACCATGAGAGCTATTTAATAAATAAAAATCATCTCTAGCTTAGAAGGAAAGCAGACAGTGTAAGGAGAGATTTAATTCAAGGCAGAGCCACTACTCTGAGGCTATACTACGCCTTTGGCAACTACCAGTGAACGCATAATGCCACTGGTTTTAATGTTTCATATATCCCGTCCTGCAGCCATTGTCATAATTGGGAATAGGCCCTTAGAAAATAACTTGATTGCAGCTGTAAAGATGTTAGCATTTAGCAGGACAAATAGTTAAATGAGCCATCTGGTCTACCAGGCTAATTACAAATGATTAATAGGAAGATAGTGGCTGCTATTTGTGAGGCTCCTGCACCCCCACCCTCCCACCAGCTGAGGAGGAAAGTGAGAGAGTGGAGAAAGCCACAGGAAAGCAGCACGGAGAGAAAAGATGATTAAGTGGGTGCTCCTCCTATCCCTCCACAAAAGGTCAGGGGGGGCCCCAAAGTGAGAATAACCATGGAGTGACATAAGGAGTTGAAGAGGGGGCTCTCACTAAATAATAAGCGCATCCTCTCCCCACTCTCTGTTCCCCACAAAGCTTTGATTCCTGCTGCATAATCCATCAACCCCCTCTGAGAGGTCAGAGCTCATCCATAGAGGCTGGCAGCCAATGATAACCCTGCTACTGGTCAGCTGTAGTGCTATGATTGGTTTGGAGTTCTGGAGGTTGAGGGGAGACAGAGTCCCTGGTATAGCTGGATGGGACCGCAGGGCTGGGACGCTGCTGTCCCATGAATCTCTCTCTCTCACACACACACACACACTTCTTATTGGACAGGGTGGGAACAAATGCATTGGCTCTGCAGCTGCTTTAAAGCTGCAGAGTCCTTGTATTGCTGGATCCTGTTTCCTTGAGTTGCATAGGAGGGGAACACATGGACATGGCTCAGTGAGATGTTATAGTGTTTGGAAAATACAAACTGCACACAGACACACACAAATACCTTCTGTCCCCCTCTCACCCAGACACACTAACTCCCCTCCCCCTTTCATGACTTTGATTCTGCCCTCCTCACCTCTTCACAGTTATTGGTGACTGAACTGTCCAGCTAGGTCCTAGACTCTGCTGTCTCTCCATAGAAAGAGCAGCTTTTCTGGGAGGTGGGGGGGAGGAAGAGGCAGCCCCCACTAGAGGTTCTTCACCCACCCCAGGTGAAGAGGTGAATGAAAAAAAAGGTTTTTTTAAATGCTGCATGCTCCATATTTAGTAATAACAATGTAACTTATAAACAATGACTAATACATGTTTTTCCCAAAAATATCCCAGTCAGAACATTGCACTACAATTAATACAACTTAGCACTTTTGCTAAACATTTTATTACATACAAAAAAGTAAATGTACTATAGAAACACTCACAGGAGATGTGCAAATAATGCCCTTTACACATTTAATAGTACCATGATGCTATTTTTTATTACAAATGTTACATGTAAAAACGAACAGTGGCCTGTCAAAACATGCAGCTAACCTATTGTATTAGTGCTAATGATACAGATAACTAGCTGAATTCAGCAGTCCAAAGAGTCAAGCCTTTCAAAGTCCAGGGAACTGCTCTACTTCAGCAAGACTGAAAACTATCAAAGAGGGCAAAAGGAAAACAGAGTTCTGAAAGACTGCTGATTTTTGACTACTCTTATGATGTTGATCAAAGCTTTGAGCAAATTGAGCCATACCTCATCTTCAGTCAGCGCCATATCCTACAGGTGTTATCCTTGCTCCCTAGTAATAAAGACATATTATGGGCGATTACTTTTGTCCCTACCGTATATATTTTCCTTGTTAATTAATACTTAAATAATTAGCCTGTAGACAGATCTGTGTAAGTAGATTTCTCTTGCCTGTGTCTGCAAAGAGATACTGGAGCGCTTCAGCAGCTGCAGTACTCTGTATGGCTGCTGCCCTCCTGCCCCCCATGTGTGGAGTTCAAAAAGTGGATCCAAGCAGTTGTGGACCCACTGTTCATGCCTGACCCTTTCACAAGACCCCCTCTGTTCTAAAGTGGATGGAGCTTGCACAGAAAACAGCTCCAGAGACACTGACAGTTCAGTCCCATTACAGAGGTTCTCTGCATCCTGCCCATCTGCTATCCCAGGGGTCGGCAACCTCTGGCACGCAGCTCACCAGGGTAAGCACCCTGGCAGGCCGGGCCAGTTTGTTTACCTGCTGACACGGCAGGTTCGGCCAACCACGGCTCTCACTGGCCACTGTTCATTGCTCCAGGTCAATGGGGGCGGCGGGAAGCCACAGCCAGCACAGCCCTCGGCCCGCGCCACTTCCCGCGGCTCCCATTGGCCTGGAGCGGCGAACCGCAGCCACTGGGAGTTGCGATCAGCCGAACCTGCCAGTGCGGCAGGTAAACAAACTGGCCCGGCCCGCCAAGGGGCTTACCCTGGCAAGCCGTGTGCCAAAGGTTGCCAACCCCTGTCCTATCCCCTCACGGTGCATGCAGTGTGTGAACTGGACTGGGTCAGCTGTTTTGTGAATAGGGCATGCCCATGGAAAAGGTAGCAGGGTTTAGCCTAAAGCTTTGTCCATGCCTATATTCAAATTTGATCATAGCAGTCTGAAATTGAACCACAGTTCTTAAGTGCATTTCTCATTCTACCTTGGCTATGTGTTGGAAGTCACTGCTGCTCTCAACATGTGTAGAATGGTCCAAGTACATGTTTTGTTTCAAAATATAAAACAGTACAAACAAATCCCAGATAGTTACCTGTAATGATGATATCGCCTTTGTAGTTGAAAGCACTTGAGAATATCTCATCAGTGTGTCCCTCTAATATTTGAATGCATTGTCCTGTATGAGGGTCCCAAAGTCGAGCTGTTTTATCAGAGCTGGCTGTTAGGATACGACTACCTTGAGGATTGAAGCAGATCTTTAAAACAGTGACAAGAAAAGTGACACCAGTTAGCATTCCAGCCTATATAACTGGAAGAGAAAGCATGATTTACATACTGTAGCTTTCACTGTATGTATATTTGAAAGTGTTTTATGTGAAATGAGGTAATTCCCTATAATAGTTTAACTCCCATTAAAGACCACTTACTTTACATTGCCAGGTTTGCATATGTTTTTAACTCCTCATATATAATTTAAGGAGCATAACCTCACTATATTGGGTTTATTACACAATTAAAAATGTCATCACACAGACTATTTGTGAATTATTGGCTAGTAACAGTGCCCAACATATCGTGCCTCTTCCCCCCCACCCTGAAAAAAATGAACTTGCAAAACAACAGACTCCCCGTATTATCACATCCTTCCATGTGATATATGCAAAGACAGAGCAGCATTCAATGTGCCCAAAAGGCAAATTCTGGCTCCCAGGTAGAGAAGCTAGTTCCAGAATTAGGGCCCTTGATGGAGAATGCCCTGCCACTGGCCCCTTCTCTTTTAAACCGGAAGAAACAAAGTATTGCATAGAACATAGTAGGTAAGATAAGGCTATCCTTTCTCAATCTAACTTTCTCTCACTACAGGATTTTAATAATCAAATGAATGTAGGGAAACGGTGTAACAGTCTGCCCTTTTAAGGTTCTACAGAGCAAGGAAGCAGAAAGCCCTAGCCTAAGGAGAAGCCCAGCAGCCAGCTGATCCAGCTAGTGATTGGCTCTGATTCCCAGATGGAAGATATAAGTGAGGATCTAGGTCTGTAAGAGAAGGAGGAGATACAAACACTTCCCTGAGCAACAGGGCAGGTAAGCCTTGTGGTCACCCTGAGAGTAAGGGAAGGCCGTGAACCTTGACATAGTGGACGGTAGAGGACTCTGCAGTATTGGTCCAGGTCAGGACTATCGCTTTTGTTACTTGTTCATATTTTTGTTTTTGTGTGAGAGAAGAATAAAAGCCACTGTTCTGAAGGCTAAAAAGAGAGTTGGGTGTGGCTGATTATTTTGTCCCCAAGCTGGTGGACAGACCCACCAGACTACAAACAGCAAGACTTCATTTTTTTGCCAAGAACTAGCCTAGCTCCTAAAAAGTTAATATTTCAAACTTGGAAATCACCAAACAATTAAAGCATCATGGGCCTGCACACTGGTTTGAGTGCTCACATAAATCATGAAATAATGATCCACTTGAATGACAAGCAGGAAGAATTGCAATAATTAAATAACAATCTTTGCCTTTAGGGTAAAATTTCAAAAGCACCTAAGTCAATTAGGAGCCTTCATTCTATTTTCAAAATTGACTTGGGCACCTGACTTTCAAAGAGGCATAGGCTCCAACATGAATATGTTCTTTTGAAAATGGGACTTAGGTACTTGGAGATTTCCATTACTTGCATCTGAAGAAGTGAGGTTCTTACCCACGAAAGCTTATGCTCCCAGTACTTCTGTTAGTCTCAAAGGTGCCACAGGACCCTCTGTTGCTTTTTACCCTTAGTATTTCACCTTAGAGACATGGGCCTCCACCCCAGCTGCACAGAGGAATAAAACAGAGTAAGGAGGGGTTCAAAGGCCCCTAAATTAGCAAAATCAGGGAAGCAGCTTGTCTGAGCCCTGTTCCCCATCCCAACTGGAAGCTGAAAAGTCTTGGAAGATAGCATCCTAAGTAAGCACTCACCAATGGGCTATAAAAATCCATGCTTACATTTCATTTTGAAACTTATGCCAATGACATGTAATAATTGCTGGTTAGCATGATGTCACTTAGAAATAAAAAAAGAGGAGGCAGAAACCACTACACAACTCACCTTAGAAATTTCACCTCCATGACCTTCCAGCTTTGCAATGCATTTTTTTGTTTCAGCATTGTAAACTCTTGCTGATCCTGTATTAGAAGAAAAACCATTTGTGACTGTTTTGCTTAAGTCTATATATAAAGTGTTTACATTCACTGGTAGTACTCCTCAGCTTGGACCCACTGGAGTCAATGGAAGTTTTGCCACTTACTTCAGTGGAAGCAGAAGAAAGTCCTGTATTAGGAATAACTAATTTAAGGCCTGATTCTTCAAATACAAACATGAGTAACTTTTCTCACACAAGGAAACCCACAGACTCACGCGCATATTTTCAGGATTGGATCCATGCAGTGGTTGCCTGTAAAAAGTCATGATTTGCCAACATTTAAGTACATGGTGATATTTGAAATCACCACAGGTTTCCTTTATACATAAAGTAGGTCAGGAAATATCTGTGCTATGGTAGGAAAATATTGACTTTTTAATGGCTTCCACTGTATGACTTCTAAATATACACCCACAATTTGTATATAACCTTTGTGTAATCAAATACTGCATGTTTGCTAGTGTTTTGACCAATCTAGTAAGTGTCCCAAGTGATTGGGCTTCTGTAGGCCTACATTGTCACAAAGTGTTTGTCATAAATTACATTATTTTACTTCCTAACATAGGAACTACCCAAACCAGATCAGACCAGTGGTCTGATATCCTGTCCCTGACAGTGGTTGGTACCAAACACTTCAAAGGAAGATGTAAAACACCCACTTAATGAATAAACATGCAATAACATATAGCATCATTAATATGTGCTAATATTGAAACAAAAAAACAAGGGGGCTGGAATACAGAAAACTATTTATTTTGACTCATGAGAAATAAGAACCATGCAGAACACCTGAAATGCTATAATCTGCATAGCGGACTAAAAGAGAGAGAGAAAATCTGTGGCTATTTAAAGCTAATCAAGAGACAATTTTATTATCAAGGTAGCTAATGTGCAATCTGCTGAACACAATCATGAAACTAAATTGTTTATTTCACCCCCTCATTGTTATGTATTCTCATTACATACTAGGAAGCCATAGTAATAGTTTCATTTGTAAGACTAACTAGCTTTCCGTTTAAGCACAAATTTGTGCCACTCAGACCTAACTTCATCCAAAAGCTATTTTCTCCCTGCAGTCGCTCATGCACTTTCAACCACAAGAGAATTTATTTCCCCAGAAAGCTTGAGGTTAACTGGACAAGGCATCTTGAAGAAGATGAAAGTCTGAAAGATGAGAGGTTTCAGAGTGGTAGCCATGTTAGTCTGTATCAGCATGATGTATGCCATCATGTGCCAGCAATGCCCCTCTGCCATGTACATTGGCCAAACCGGACAGTCTCTACGCAAAAGAATAAATGGACACAAATCAGACGTCAAGAATTATAATATTCAAAAACCAGTCGGAGAACAATTCAACCTCCCTGGTCACTCAATTACAGACCCCAAAGTCACAATACTCCAATAAAAAAAAACTTCAAAAACAGACTCCAACAAGAAACTGCAGAATTGGAATTAATTTGCAAACTGGACACCATTAAATTAGACTTGAATAAACACTGGGAGTGGATGGGTCATTACACAAAGTAAAATCTATTTCCCAATGCTATTTTTTTCCCCTACTGTTACTCACACTGTCTTTTCAACTATTGGAAATGGGCCATCCTGATTATCACTACAAAAGTTTTTTTTCTCCTGCTGATAATAGCCCACCTTAATTGATTACTCTCATTATAGTTAGTATGGCAACACCCATTTTTTCATGTCCTCTGTGTATATATGTCTTCCTACTGTATTTTCCACTGCATGTATCCAATGAAGTGGGTTTTAGCCCACGAAAGCTTATGCTCAAATAAATTTGTTAGTCTCTAAGGTGCCACAAGTACTCCTTGTTCTTTTTGAAAAATGAGAGAATTTTAACTTCGGGAGAAATCTTTTTAATCTCTCTCTCTCTATATATATATATATATATAAAGATACCTTAAATACATCTTGATCCAGATAGTCTAGCCCAGATTTTCTGGGTTTGGCCAAGCGGCACCCAGCACAGAAGCAGAGGGGAAGGGCAAAGTAATGTTTATGCTACCACTGCGTTCCTCTGTTCTTGGGGTCAGCCAGAGGCCTAAGGGCTGCTCTAACATTCACTCAGCTGCCAGTATATGAAAACACAGTGCTAGCCCCGATCAATTCACCTACCATCAGCTGAGGAAGTTGCAATACGCTGGCCAGTATAATCAAAACACACATCTAATACTTCATCATCATGACCTGTTAAAGTTGCCACACGTGTCCCGGTCACAGCATTCCACAGCTGCATGTGGATAAAAAGCAATAAATAAAACCCTATCCAAGTAATTACAGGCAATCATAAGCAAACTTACTATTTATTTTGACTTGAATTGCTAGATGTGTATATAGTCAGTCAATCAGTATTGTGACTGATTACATACAAATCATATATGCACTGATTTAGTGCATAACAGAATGTAATACCTTAATAGATGTATTATTGCATGACTACCCTGGATTTAAACCAGTGGAGAGGAAATGTATTTGCTTAGCCAGTGTAATGCACAGGAAATATTGCATGTCTGTTAAATTTTGTGCTTCATTTTTACAAGTTTAATGTGATATCACTTAAGCAGAATTCTCTACTGAAATCAATAGGGAAGTTCCTGCTTACAAATTGATATGTGTCACTACCCATAGTCAGATCTTTCCTGAATGATATGTACTAATTAAATAATTTGTCATTTACAAAAAGTGCATTCTTACACCAAGGACCTGTGAGTAAATTCACTGAATTCCAAAAACTGGCAGAAAAGAATGAGAGAGAGAATTCATATGTGGGGAAAGAACCAGTTTTCATCTGAAATGCTATAATCTGCATATACAACCTTAAAGAGAGACAGAACATCTGTGGCTATTTACAGCTAATCAAGAGAATTTTATTATCAAGGTAGCTAATATGCAATCTGCTGAACACAATGTGCAGGATCTGGTAAGTGAATATAACCAAATTAGTTCACTTCTGCACCTAGCACATGTGCTCCTCTCAGGCAGGTAGTAAAAAGGCTCTCAGCAGTCAGACAGAATGGCAGGCTTTTCATAATACTGCCCAAGCTATTTTTTGTATTCCTGTTTTAATATAGCCAGTACTAAAATCCCTGTTCATTTTAGTTCTGTGTTCAATATGGGACAAACCATGAACCTACACAAAAAATCCACATGGGTAAGAAAGCTCCATAAGGTTTTCTTGTGGAGTTTCCTTCAACTTCTGCCAGGGTGCAAGTTCCCCTATCACAAAAGAACCAGGTAGGTTGGCACCCAGATCACATGGATTTTGAGGATCTATCAAGAGGACATCTCTCTCCACACTGCCTCTTGTGCCTCCCTCTTAATTATCAGCATGACTTCTGCTTCTCCTGGTAGCAGCTGACCCTTAAGAAGTGATACAGCCTTATTCCCATTTTACAGATGGAGAACTGTGATACAGAAAGTTTAAGACCAACATAGTGTTCAGACATGCATCTGACGAAGTGGGTATTCACCCACGAAAGTTTATGCTCCAATACATCTGTTTGTCTTAAAGGTGCCACAGGACTCTCTGTTGCTTTTTATAGTGTTCAGAGTTGTGGCTACTCATCCCCTCTGAAAGTCAGGCCACTGATTTCTAAAATTTGGCATCGAAAATCACAGGCACTCATTACTACAGGCCAGTTTTGAAAATCTGTCCCTTAGTGATTTGCCCAAGGTCACCAAGGAAGTTGGAGCAGAAGCAGAGAACAGATCTCCTGAGTAACAGTCCAGGGCCTCAACCCCAAGACAATCTTTTCTCTTTTTATGAAACAAATTAGAGGAAATTAGTTGTAATGGAGCACCAAGGCCTGCCTTTCAGTTTACTGGGAGACTGCTACAAACCAGCAGTCAGTTAAAAGGTTCATTATACAAAATGGATTCTGAATAAGTTACAAAGATTTTCTGCAGCTATAACAAAGAGTACAGGAATTCATTGTGTCCTAAATGAAATCTTACAGTGAATTATTTGTTGTGTAACATGAATAGCAACAGACACACTATACAGGAGGTTTCTGTAAAGATCCAATTATCTTACCATGCATGTTTTGTCCATCGATCCCGTAACAATTAGAGAGCAGTCCCAGTTGAATTGTGCACTGCTAATTTCTGCCCGATGACCTATTAAAGTATGCAACTTCCTAGCAAAAGAGAATTAAAATTCATATTTGTGCATTTGCATCAAAACTGAGATAGGTATAAAGGTATATGTTTATAAGTAAGCTAGAATGATAGTATAGTTAATGGGTCAAATCCTTTCTGCCTCATCCACTAGTCACTGAAATTCCTGGTGTTAGGTGAGCAGGGTTTGGCTGACTTTGTCTAAAACAGAGCGAGGCTGGTTCAGCATTCTAGTGGCACATCAGCATCCATTTCCATTCTCTTATACCAAAAGTGGCTAGGAGTACTGTGGAAAGAAGCCCCATTTCTACTACTTTCTCCTTTAGAAAAATCTTTGACATGAATTTGGAGCTAATAAATTGTAGCAGACTGGCAACACTAGTGAAGTCTTCTATTCATTCACAGTGCAAGTAGAGCCCAGACAGAAATAGAGCAAGTTTCTCCTCACTGCTCTGACAATATGTCTCATCAATGACCTTGAACGAAGTAGCTCAGTGAGACCCCAATTCAGCAAGGAACTTAAGCTCATGCTTAACTTTAAGCACTTGTTTAAGCGCTATTGAAGTCAACAGGATTTAAGGGAGTACATAAAAGTTAAGATGTGTTTAAGCACTTGATGAATTGGGAGCAAATTGATAGATTTCAAACTCTTAATAAATCTGAGCTGCTCTGTTGAGCCTACCAATAAGGGAGACATTTAGTGAAATGGATATGTCTGTTATAAATTCAAGTGTAACCCACTGGCTCATTTCACAATTTTTGATCACTTGTAACCAGGGCTGGATTCCAGCTGGTGACCTATTGGTAAAGAACTCCATGTCCCATCACTAGTCCTCTGGGCCATTACGTTTCTCTGTTTGTCATTCTTTAATATGCTCTGGTTCAATAAATGTGCTTCAGAAGAAAGGTCACATCAAGAGTTAAGGGATTCTTTGAGAATCCCCTTGATAAAAAAATGGAGGCAGGTTTTTGTATTTAAAAATGTTTGATAAAAATAGCTGTAATGTTCAGAATAGACAGTATTGTGAAAGGAACACAATGTAATCATGTATATACATTTAGTACGGTCACTGTCACTTTCATATCTCCAAAAATCATTTTAAAAATAATGTTTCAGAGCACCATAGTAAATGGCTGATTTATTAATATATATTTTAATTAACAAAATAAATATAAATCTCTGCAGATGACATTCCCAAAGAAGGAAACAAAAATCTATAAAAACCAAAAGCCAAAATGTGCACAACTATGAGCCCAATTGTGCACAAAACTCCCATTTAAATCGTTGTTAGTTTTGCCAGTGTAATTAGTGCAAGATCAGGTTTTATATGACCCAATCCAAATACTAGTGGGGACTCCACTGTATTTAGACCCTGTTTTGACTAAAAGAACAACCATTGTAGTGATCCAGAACATCCATTATTTAATCAAATGTATAACATTGGCAACACTAGTAATCTGTTAAACTCTTCAGACAGCTTTGCTAAACTGAGCTGAGTAATTAGTCATCAATGCCCATTCTAGATTAATGGGGGCTATAAAGCACTGAGTGCTGGAAGAAATTTATTGATAAATATATTAGAGGGCCTGTAAATTAGGGGATATATCACGTTATTGTTAATAGAAAACATCTACAGGTTTAACAATTAATCAAGTTAATGACCAGACAAGCAACAAAATGAAACTACTGGTAAGTAATGCAGAATACTCTTTTTTTTTTAAATGATTAGACAAGAAAGAGAGAGGCCTCTATTATTGTATACACTAAATGAAAGGTTCACAAAAGCAAATCTTCTGAATAATTGAATCCAATTTTGTTTACTGTAACAAAAGAAACCTATTACATTGGTGTCCCTTTAACAGATTACTCTATTTATTTCCTAATTATGCGTTTCCTGTTCTGTTGTGATTATGTTGACCTTTTTACAGTAACTAAATGGTGGGGAGTACTTTGGTTTTATGAACATATTATTTGGCCATTTGTACTATTGTTATTTTCTTATGCAGCACCCAGAAACCCCAATCAGGGTCAAGGTCTCTCTTTACAAACACAGAGGAAGAATGGTGGTTGCTTCAAACTTTTGTATACATATCCAGTTGGGATGGACATGTAATACATCAATATATTCGATGCCTAAATAGCAGAATGTTTGAACATATTTCACATAAACTGTAATTTGTCAGCAATTCAATTAGGAAAAATCTATATAATAATCAGAGTTGGCGAAATAGCATGAAAACATTTTCATTCAAATTTCATTCTTACCCATTTTGTGCTCACCTTTCATGAACATTAGAGCCACATTTACTGGCACAAATGCTCCTGGACAGTTAATTTTAAGCTTGGATGCTCAAGTATTCACAACAGAAATGGTATATTTTGTATGATGGGACACTGACTATTAACATTGCAGTTGCACAATGATTTCATAGTCCCTCACCAAACTCAAATTATAGGCATTTAAATGGGCCAGACAAGTTTCTGACTACCATTCTCAGCTTGGGCTAGAGCGGGTTGAATTTTTTTCATTGAAACTCTTTTGATAAAAAATGGGTTTGTATTTTTTCCACAAAAAAATGAAAACCAATTTTTTTCAGTAAAAATCTTTTTTTGGTAAGAATTTTCATTTTCAGGAAAAAAAAATTCCATTTTTGTTTTTGAAAACCATTTTTTTAACCAAAAATAGTAATTTTCATTTTGGTTTCAGTTTTTTGTCAGAAAACTGAAAAATATTCAGAGGAAAATTAAAAAAAAAAAAAAGTTTTAGAAATTTCCCACAAAAAATATTTGGCATTTTTCAACTGGCTCTAACTAGGACAATGCACACAAGTACATTTGTGTGACAGTGATGAGAGAAAAATGTAATTAAATTAACATTTTAGATTTTTTTCTAGGAATCTGCCCATGGAAAAGGTCTATGGGGATCAAAGTTAAAGGTTTAAGATTTTCTAAAACTCCCTAATCCTGTTTATCTGCTATGTCTCCTTTAGGGATTCAACATGCTAGTTCCATCTTCAAATTTTCCCCAGGATAATAAAGTATGCCCAGCTAGTCAGATAGCAGAAACAATACCATGCAATATTGGGACCAATCACAACTAACCAGAACAACTGAAATTTAGAATATCCAGTATCAAATACAGCATATCGTCATCATGATCCCTACAATAAAAACCAAACTCCACAAAAAATCCAGAGCATATTCAAATAAAATAGCCTTGAAGAAAATGTGATCTATTTATGTATATTCCTCAAGCACAAAGAAAGGCAAAATTAGCTAAGTTCATTATACATAGTTAAATTATTAGCTCAGCGCTAACAGTATTCTAAATGTGTACGTCTGTCCTCCTTTAATAGTATACATATGCATCACTGCCCTCTAATAGATAAGATACCAGACCTAGACAGGAGGGCATGACTATATTGCCCTCTAGTGACTGCAGCCCACACAAAATAAACTAGATTACCACTGCTGATACTAATAATACTACATGCTCTAGTGAATACTGCCAGCTACTGCTGACACCTCTAAAGGCTGTATGATCATGCCACTCTCTGGTGCTTGCAGCATTCATAGGAAATAAGTCATAAATCTACTACGCACACTGGTGAATGTTTCACTAGTTATCACTAGCCTAATGACAAGTTATATATCAATCACTTCTTAGCAGTTTCAACTTCACTTCTGTAGCTGCTTTCTGCTGATGTTATTCCACGGAGATCAATAATTAATGTTAATAATTACTCTGATACATCCAGCGGGACTGCACGTGTTTCAGAGACATGAGAGCACTCAGTAAGTTCACAAGTGACTTATATCCTGGGGAAATTTTTCAAGCATATCAGACTAAAACAATCCATTCAACTTTCACATTTTTTAATTCTTTCCACACTACTAATTACCAGAACTACTGGTGTTTAAATAAGAGCTTCCTCCTTCACAGTCCATCTCCTGCTATTTGATCCTGAAGTAAAGTCACAATGCTGAATCTGTAACATTTCAATCATTTCTGCAGAAAAAGAATGCAACATTAAAAAACTAAGACTCTGACTTCAGTGCAGGATCAAACAAGAAGAAGATGGAAGAAAGCTGTTCAAAAAAAATATCTGCAATAACAACAAACTGAACACAATAACATTACTGCCAAAGGGCCCAATCCGGTGAGGTGCTAAGTGCATCTGAGCCTGAGGCACTGAGTCTCAACTCTTTGTATTGGGAGCAGAGGGTACTCAGCACTTTGCAGGATCAGGCCTTAAATGATCTAGTATATGCATATTATTTTTTCTCCCAGAAGAGATTAAATGGCCTTTGTGGTCTTGATGTTACATCATCATGTTTGTTATTTCAACCCTATCCATGTGATGTACACATTCGCCCTTCATTTTAATACTTCCAAAGCAATGCTAATTTTAGAGATATTCCATCTAACTTCATGGAGAGAGAAATCTCCCATGACAATGGAATGGAACGTTTACCTTAACAACAAGTCACCTTTATCAGTAAGCTGGACAATTGGTTCATAATGTTATTTATACTGAGTCCTCAGCTCAAAAAACAAGAGGACCTGTGAGAACAATATTAACCAGCCAGTATTCAGCCATTCACATTTAAATTACACAAATGCTTTAGCCATTATTAAATGAAGAAGTGACCCTTCTTACTGGCATGATAATCTTAAAATCTTGAACTCCATAATTAGAGGGTCAACTTCTCCTCTCACTTAACTGACCTTGAAAGTCAATAGATTTACATTGGTGTAAAACCAGAGTGAGAAGAAAATCACTCTCTATATTTATTAAGGAGAAACTGGCAAGATTGACTGCTCATAATTTAACATGCCCTAAAAACACCTCTCTTTTTTTTAAAACTGTCTCTTGCTTCTATAAAATGTAGCAATTCCCAAACCAAGTGCTTCAACACGGATTATATTTTCCTGGTTGGATGATTCATTAATAACAAATATAGGGCCCCTTTACTCTGCCTGCATGGCTCAGTTCTTGTGAGCTGGTGGAGTTTAAAAAAATATAAGCCTCTTATACACTAAAGAATTTGGAGAGCAAGTTTTTTTGCATATTTCAGTATCCTGGCTACTCAGAAGAGCAAAGGTCACAGGAGAAAAAGTAAAGGTGAGGTCAGGTGTGCCCAAAAACCAAAGCCCAATTGGAAAGTCTAGAATTTGTAAGCCCTAGAATTTGACAGTGCCCCTTTAAGATGTCATTAAAACACACAATACAAAAACAACCTTATGAATGCTTTAGTACCTGCCAGTGCCAACATCCCACACTACAACTGTGTGGTCAAAGGAGCCAGTGATGATCCTATCTCCTGTGGTATTAAATGACAATGCAATAATTTCTGCTGAGTGTCCCTAAGAGAATATTAATAAAAAGGTACTTCAGAATATAAATGATACATTTAGGTCCAATACCCAGTTTGTACAGTAGGAATACAAAATCATGGAAGTGATTGTTTCCATTAGGCCATATAGTCCACCTCCTTGACAATGTAGTGAATTTTCTTGTTTCTTGTCTAGTCTTGCATAACTTTGACTATTCCACAGTATAATCTCACTGCCCATATTACAATAACATTTAATATCATATGCCACTTAAGTACTAGCAAATAGAACACTGGGAACAATCCTGCAATGACAGGGAAATGAATTAGAATTGTGATCTAATAGGTCTTTTTCATATCAAATTTCTATGGAACAGTAGTTATTCACCATTAAATGAGAGGATGCTTTCATTACAATAAACTAAGGGCCAAATTGTCACTTCTTGTGTGTGTGCATGAGAGAAAAGGCATATGGAGCCTCTTGCTGACAGGCCAAGGACAACTGCAGTCTCTACTGCTCCCTCTCTGTATTCCCCCACCCTGAGGCATGCTTCAGAGGCAGAGAAGGGTGAAGAGGAGACTGTCCCTTGTCTACTCCATGGGCCAGGAACACCGAAAGAGGCAGCCTGCGCACTGCCCCTTACTTAGTCTTTGTGAAAGGGATGAGGATGTGACTTTAAACATTTAGGCAGAAATATTTAAACAGTGGAATCCTAGCAAGCCAAATACAGAGAATAGAAATCACACTCTAGATGCACTTGGTGACTTGACTGAATTCTCTACATACATCATGCAGAAGATGAATGATGCAGCTATTATAGCTATAATCCTAGGCATTAACACTTTTGAAGTTACTTTATACTATAGTACTTTATATTAGCTCTCAGAGTTGCACAGGAATTACAGTTCAGTACTTATAATGATAAACTATGTTAATGAGAGCAGCAATTTTTTCTGGCCTAGGACAGTAGTGACATTGAATTGGGAAAGTCTGACATTTGATTAAACTGTTTTTTATGATTTTAATAAAGTAGTATAGCTTTCTTACTCCCTTTATGTTTTCTTAATCAATTATTTAACTATAGTCACTAAGTGACTCAGCTAGTAATAGAAATTATTTGCCTGCAAATACTGAAATGGATGATTAAGAAGTCTATTTATACCCCCATCTAATTCAATTAGGAACTAAAAAAGCACCAAACACCTTCAGAACAATAAAGACTGCAAACATACAGTTAACATGACCACTTCCTCTCCATTCTGGATATCCCATAGTTTGGCTGTCGTATCCATACTTCCAGTTGCTATCAGAGTGCTTTGAAGATTAAATGATAAACAAACCTGTAACACAAACATTGGGGAAACAATAAACTTCCTATGAATTTTTTGAAAACTAACTGGGGTCAGGATCTGTATTTGAAAACACAGCAATAGTACAATTTAACAGTTTGTGACCTACAAATAGTCATGGCACTTGAATAATGTTACAGCTGCAGTGCCTTCTAGACATTTCGTTAGAGAAGCAACAAATCCTTACCACACAAGCTTTGGAGGACAGCTTATTGGACTGAACTAACTAGTTGCTTTAAAAATGAATGTCTTTGGAAAAAAGGAAAACATTTGCTGGGAACTTAGTTGCATTTTCAATTATGATATTCCATTTTTCATTATTGAACAAATCTACATAGCATAGACATGTGGCAGCAGTTCATGTGTAATAAACATCGACTCTTTTAGAAATTATTGAAGGTTATGGGCCTGAAGTTGAGAAACAGCATCTGATATTGCAGGTATAGTTCTTATCAATTATTTGCAGGTACAATTCATAGCATTTTGGGCCTGATCCAACTACTACTGAAGTCAGTGGAAACTGATCAAGCCATAAGAGATCTAATTACCTGATTTGTAGGCACAAAGACAGAGACAGAGTTGAGACACTTTTAAAAATCAGATCGTTCACGTTAAGAGAAATCATTTCAAAACGCTCAGAGAACAAACAAATCACTTCAAGACATACCAACACTACTGTACACTGATGCAAAGCAGCAACTTCTCAGGCCCAGTTTTCACTTTTGCAACTTACAAATTAAACTGCTGCACCTACAATGCACACATAGGTTCTATACTTTTTTACTCTATTGAATGACAACTCAAAAGGCAATTTTTATAGAAAAATATAATCTGAGTGTTTCAGTGTGGTATTCTAGTACATATAATTTTACAAGCGAAACATAAGAATCAAAAAGAAAAATCACGCTCCAGAAAAACAAGGGTATTGTTTCAAAAATGTAAACAAATTATGGGAGAAATCATAATTGAAATTTTCTAACATGCAATCAATTAAAAATATCAAATTTTAAATAGTCAAAAATAATTCTTAACATTTGGCAAAAGAGGGAAACTGTAACCAATTAGAGATAAAAATAAATTATTTTAATTATATTCTGCTAATTGGATACAAAGTGTTTTGTTCTATTCCTTGACGGCATGCCTTTTTGTACATGCTCAAATAGTTTGATCAATATGGGTCAGTGCAGGAAAGTTCATGGAGGCTCTACAGACCTCCCAGAGTACACAGCTGTACCTGGAGGTTACACTGAATTCAAAGGCATAAGAAATGCTCTCCAATGGGAGGCATAACAGACATCAAGCAGTGCATTCATGATATGTGATACTTCAGTTCACTGGAATAATGGGACAAAAGGGGCAAACATTCATTCAGGCAGGAATGATGTTACAGGGCCATGTAGAACAAAGAGAGAATAGGTCCTTAAGCCAGGCAGGACCTGATCTGTCTCTCCACTAGGTGAGTGATATAGCTAGAGTCATGGGAGAGAGGGAGTGAAGAGCAACAGGACCAGAACAGACAACAGCAGAATGCAAGAGAAGATGGAAAAAATGTACCAATAATGAATGGTATAGAGAATGTGGATCAGAAACTTCTGTTCTCTCTGTCTCATAAAGAAGAGGACATTCAATGAAACTGAAAATTCAAAACTGATATAAAGAGGTACTTTCACACAATTCATAATCAGACTGTGACACTCATTGCCACAGATTGTTGTTGAAGCCAAGAATTTAGCAAGATTCAAAAAGCAATGGGACATTTACTTGGATATCGAGAATATCCCCCAAAATTTACATAATAGGGGTTAAGAGAAGATTACCCAGGGGGCCAGATTATCCCATAACTACCTGTCGCTGGGTTTCATGCCTCTTCCTCTTAAGCATCTGGCACTGGCCACTGCTGGAGATAGATCATAAACCTGATCCAGCATGGTAATTCCTATGTTTCTAAGAGATGGGTGCTTCTTTGCTTTAGCTCTCTATGCTGCAAGCTGTCCCATAAATCCCGAGCATACATAAGTAGAGTCTCTTAGGATCCAATTCTCCAATGCAGCCAGTGCCTCAAGACACCCACAACTTGCATAGAGAGAAAGGCTATATACACACTGTGTTGAATAGGGAGAAAGTTAACATTATTAATTACAAAGATCTAGATGCAGGTTTTTAAAACAGTAGAGTTTTAGCATCATGGGAGTTTGAATACAAGAGCAGAAGCTCTCCCACCCCACCCTAGTAAAGACACACCATTATGAGACAATCTTGATTATACCAAGGTCCTAGATGACACCGAGAACTTTTGGATAATCAAGCAATTTTTTTCAGTGTAATTAACAAACATCAGAGGAAACGACCCTCTTATAAAGTAGTAGTGGTTTGACTTATTAAGTTCTGGAAAATCGAGATTATACTGGATATGAAAATACAATTGGATGCAAAGGTTTAATATTGTAATGCAGATACTCACTATTTCTGCTGTGTGTCCCCTGAAGGTATGATAACATTTTCCTGTTTCTGCACTCCATAATTTGCAGGTTTTATCAAAAGATCCAGTGGCAATCTTGTCACTAAGTGGAAAAATAGTCACTTTTATTTAGAAAAAAAGAAGAAAAAATTCAAAGGCAGTAGGAGAAACTGAAGAATTCACAAAAATACATAATCCTTTATATACCAAAGCAGTATATTTTTCAAATCATCTCATGAACAAGCCTACAGATTAGCAATATATTTTATGACTAAATTTGTGGCAGGCACCGTAGAGATTTGCATTCCTTGGGTCAGTTGTACATCACTCTACAAAGTCATTCTGTCCCATTTCCACACCAGGCATCAGACCAAAATCAATGTGAGAGGGAGGACATAATGTAGTAGCTGTGTTAGCGTAAATTCCCTCAATGCTCGCAGATGCATTCTGCCAGATTATTTGATCTTGCAACACACCTTTTAGAAACTGAAGTTTTACTAAGGGTAAAACAAACAATTTGCTGGTGCGCCATTCTTTCTTTTCAGCCTATTTAATTTTCAAATTAAAAAGACAGGGCCAAATTCCCTAGTACACTGGGGCAGGTTTGTGCCTGTCCACCAATGCAAAGCTGACCACTCTAATTTACACCACAGACTAGACCATCTGATGAACATCCAAATAGACTTATTAAAAGTCACAGAATGGGTGCAGCCTTACAAAGTTGTTTCATATACATTGGCATTGCACCTCAGTAACAACCACTGATCTCTTAGATCAGCGTTTCCCAAACTTGGGACGCCGCTTGTGTAGGGAAAGCCCCTGGTGGGCCAGGCCGGTTTGTTTACCTGCCGTGTCCGCAGGTCCGGCCCACCAGCGGCTTTCCCTACACAAGCGGTGACCCCAGTTTGGGAAACACTGTCTTAGATGACTGGTATAGTAGGTATGTGTGTACACAGCATCTCCCTCTGGCTTTCTTGGGACTCATCCCATACCCAATTTGTATTTAAACCTAACAGAGTGGAAGACCAATAGCATGGAACTCCCCATATAAGTCTGTTTCTTTGATAAACCACTCAAAGTTACATTAAGTATCTAATTATCCTCCCACTGAAGGCAAAGGGAGTATTGTCATTGACCTCTATGGGTATGTCTACATTGCAATTAAAAACCTGCAGCTGGCCGTGCTAGCTAACTCAGGCTTGCAGGGTTCAGGCTAAGGGGCTGTTTAGATTTTTGGGCTCAGGTTACAGCCCGAGCTCTGGTATCCTCCCACCGTGCAGGATCCTAGCCCTGGCTCCAGCCCTAGCGTCTACACCACAATTAAATAGCCCTTAGCTTGAGCTCCTTAGAACTGGCCAGCTGCAGGTTTTTAATTGCAGTGTAGACATATCTTATGAGATCAGGAATCTCTTCTCCTGAGTAAAATATTTTAAATGTCTGTTCAACCTTCTTTTTCCTCTTGCAATTATACAACCATTCATTTTGCCCAAATGAAGTGACTCACCACAAATAATTGTTAAAATAGTCTCATAATGAATCCTATTAGGTGCTCACATACCACAGTGATGGATGTAGTATAGAAACCTAATGATTGGTGTTAAACTAGTTATTTTTCTTTGGAAATAGATTTCTAGCTCAGCTCTAGCTCAAGGTCATCAGCAGGTTCGTTTTCTCGTATAATATGAAAAAATATCTGCCATCTACCACTTCTTCATTATCTGGTTTTGTGCTATCTGGAATCCAGTCACTGATTACTCTTTACAAAGATTTGCATCAGACTTTGGTCCATATAGACAATATCAAATAACCCTACACTTTGTGGTTTTAAGTAAGAAATCCCAATACTGCTAGGTGCTGAGTACGCTCAACTCTCATTCAGATCAATGCAAACTGATAATAAGTAATAGAAATACTAATAATAGTGCTCAGCACATTAAAAATGGGCCCTTAACATATATATAGATATAGATATATACACAGATCTTTAATATGTACTTTTAACTGTAAATATATTTGATGATGGAAATAAGAATTTCTTTCTACCTTCTGTAGAGTGTGGACAAAAGCATAACAGAGAAGAGAATTTACTTTTTGAAGCACAAAACTCTCTCATAAAGAAGGCGGCTCTTGACTAATGTAAATCTCTGAAACCTCTGTACATGACATCATATTCTCTTTACACTACAGCTGCTAGCTCTGATCTAACCCAGACAACTACTGTAGAAAATAAAAGATATGCAGATTCACATTGGACACTGATGTAGCAGCACCCTCAAGATCTCCTATCAATTACTCACCAGTTCTGGCCAGTTTCTAAGTCAGACCCTTGATAATAATGTATGTGTAGTACTAAATGGATTAACCCACTTAAAAAGGCGGTTATGCTGGAAAAGCTGATCATTCTAACTAAAGCAACACAAGCTGTCATTACTCTATTTTATTTTAAAGTTTATATGATAACTATATTTGCAACATAGCAATGTTGACAATTAGAAGGTGTCTCAAAGACTCTGAAAACCTGTTTACCCATAGGGATTATTGAAAGCTATTGCATAGACCACATTTCTGTGTCCCTCCAATGTACGTAGCTCCTCTCCTGATGCTGTGTCCCATATTTTGCATGTTCTGTCGTAGCTTCCAGTGATAAAGCTAAAATGAAGAAAGATAAATGAGTTACAGAACAGTAGAAACTTTCTCAGGACCTGGGTCCACAACCTAGTGAAGTCAAGGGGAGTCTTTCCATTGATTTCAGTGGACTTTGCATCAGGCCCTAAATGCTTTTCCCGCATTCCATGGCATCCATGAGAATATTGATCATGGCAAAGATTCTAAATCAAGCAATTTCCAAAATTTTACTAAATATTATATTTTTAAAAAGATAACATTACCAGTGCTCAATGCATTCTCTGCTACTAAAAAGCTAGGCTTTCCTTTAGAAGAGATTACAGAGAAAAAATAGTTACAGCCTAATAAACTAACAATTAAGTCAATTACAACTGAACTTCACTTACAGTGAAAGTCCCAAAGTGCTTAAATGTATTTCAACGGACTTGCACTCCACTTATATTGAAGCCTCACCCCACTTTCAGTACATTCACTTTACTATAATGTGTGTTTCTTTCTGCTAATCCTGTTTGAATACAGCAGCTATCACCAACATATCTGAGAGGGGAGAGTGCCACCAATTGAATCACACCACCATTTTTTGCAGCCCCCTGGGTTTTTCCTTAGAAGTCTGAAATCCACGTACGTGAAATGCTTACATCTGCTTAGATACAATCATAACACAAAAGGATTTTGTTTGCAGGATAGATATGAGCACTGAAATTCACTATTTAATTTCCACATTAAAAAAATTTTCCATTAGTAATTATGCATTTTGAATTTAAAAATGAAAACTTACCAGGAACCAGATTTGTTAAATGCTACATTGGTCAGTGGCAATATATGTGCCCTAAGCACCTGAAATACAGGAAAATTAAGATTTGGTGCATTTTCAAATAAAATCAAATTACTAGGTGTTTTTGAATTAGCCTAATATCTATTCTTCTCAATATTTTCTTCCCATTTTAGTCATGCTAGCGGAGCAGTTATGACGGTAATACATTAACCCCCAGCCAGAAGAAAGCATGTGTGAGCAATTACCACTATAGAATTCATGCAGAAAATTTCTGTCTTCACTAGGAATTGCAATGGTGCAGTTACGCTACTGATTGACTGGCCACAAATGGCTGTGATTGAAGCAGATCCTCAGTGTTCATAAGGCCTGAATGAGCTGTCCTCTCTCTGTATTTCATTGTGTGCTGCCTTCTCTGAGAACAGAGAAGGAACACTAAGAGTTTCAGGAGTGGTGGGAGAAATAAATGGCCCTTATGGACCATGAGTGAGGGCTTCCTTGAAAGTTGCTCCAACAACTGTTCTTTGGTGTTTGCTGTTAAGTCATATACTACATACCACTGCATCCACTTGCAAGAAATAATTTTAACTTTTACATTGTGAGATGCTTTCAACAAGTATAAGTCATTGTTTTAAAAAAATGGGGAGAGAGAGGCAATGCCAGAGTTCCACACCCAAAGGTTCACCACAATAAAAGTCTTATCACTGCTGATTTGAAATACACTGGTGGAACTTCTAAAAAGCAGATGTCAGAACGGAGAAACTCGTCAGGATGAAATTCAGAGAGGAGATTTCAAATCTAGCCACTGCCTGGATCATTTAGATTGTGGAACCAACTCTTTTCAAACACACCGTGTAAGATCTTTTGATCAGAGACAATTTGTCTTTATTCTTTCTATAAACTGTCAGACATACCTATGGCACTATATGCAAAGATTTATTAAATAAGTAATAATTATTAATAGGGCCCTATCAAATTCACGGTACATTTTGATCAATTTCACGGTCATAGAATTTTAAAAATCGTGAATTTCATTATTTCAGCTCTTTAATTCTGAAATTTCACAGTGTAGTACTTGTAGGGGTCCTGACCCAATAAGGAGTTGTGGGGGGGTGGGGTCGCAAGGTTATTGTATGGGAGATTGTGGTACTGCTACCGTTACTTCTGCACCGCTACTGGCGGTAGTGCTGCCTTCAGACCTGAGCAGCTGGAGAGCAGCAGCTGCTGGCTGGGAGCCCAGCTCTGAAGGCAGAGCCACTGCCAGCAGCAGCACAGAAGTAAGGAAGGCATGGTATGGTATTGCCACCCTTACTTCTGCGCTGCTGCCTGCAGAGCTGGGCCCTTAGTCAGCAGCCACCACTCTCTGGTCGCCCAGCGCTGAAGGCAGCACAGAAGTAAGGGTGGCAATACCACAATCCCCCTAAAATAACCTTGTGACTCCCCCCTCACAACTCCCTTTTGGGTCAGGACCCCCAATTTGAGAAAGGCTGGTCTTCCCCATGAAATCTGTATAGTATATGGTAAAAGCACACAAAAAGACCAGATTTCACATTCCATGATGCGTTTTTCATGGCCGTGAATTTGGTAGGGCCCTAATTATTAATAATGCCAAATTAAAATCAATCTGCCACTATATTTAAGAATAAATTAAGTTACACTGCCAACAACTTTCTGCATTTCTCTGGCTATTCTTATACATGACTTACTTTTCAATAAAACTTTTATCCTTTACAAGCCAGCTTCTGCTTGATCCTATTATATACTGCCAACATCACTAGGGCCCTACCAAATTCACAGCCATGAAAAACTCATCATGGACCATGAAATCTGGCCTCCCCCCATGAAATTAGGTCTTTTGGGTGCTTTACCCTATACTATACAGATTTCGCAGGGGAGACCAGCGTTTCTCAAATTGGGGGTCCTGACCCAAAAGGGAGTTGCAGGGGAGTCAGAAGGTTATTTTAGGCGGGGGTCACAGTATTACCACCCTTATTTCTGTGCTGCCATCACATCTGGATGGCTGAAGAGCAGTGGCTGTTAGTCAGGTGCCCAGCTCTGAAGGTAGTGATCTGCCAGCAGCGACACAGAAGTAAGAGTGGCAATACTATACCATCCACCCTTACTTCTATGCTGCTGCCTTCAGAGCTGGGTGATCAGAGAGTGGCAGCTGTTGACTGAGGGTCCAGCTCTTTAGGCAGCAGCATAGAAGTAAGGGTGGATGGTATGGCATTGCCACCCTCACTTCTGCCTTCAGAGCTGGGCTCCCAGCCAGCAGCCGCCACTCTCCAGCTGCCCAGAAGTAAGGGTGGCAGTATCGCAACCCCCCACCACCACCACCACCATAACTTTACAACCCCCAACTCCTTTGTGGGCCAGGACCCCTAAAATTACAAAACCATTAAATTCAGATTTAAATAGCTGAAATCATGAAATGTATTATTTTTAAAATCTTATGACAATGAAATTGACCAAAATGGACCATGAATTAGGTAGGACCCTACACATAACTTTACTTGTGAAAACCACACCATTTGTTGACATTGAAATGAAGGGATGTCACAAATGAGCAATTAGAATGTCACTGCAGGACCAAGGAGGAGAAATGCGTAATAAGCAATGCTACTTAATCTCTGGCATATAGGCAGAGCCTCCAGCTTCCTGCTGTTATCTATGGCTTCTTATGATTCTGTCTAACTCCTCTGTCTATCTCAATAGCCAGCCATAGGTTTCTTTGTTTTTTAATAGCTTTTCCTCCCAGTTGCCTCTAGGCTTTTTCTCTGCTGGTTATCGGATTCCCTCTCACCCCTTCCATGGCATAGACACTTGCAGGGAATGAATGGGCCATCTGAAGAAGGGAGAGCCCCCAAGAGAAGCAATATAGAAAAGAAGATTAGGGAACAGGATAAGGAAATTGTGGGCAGAGCATTGACTGCAAACAGCTAAGGAGAGAAAATGGAGAGGCAGAGATAAAGAGGGGCAAAAATGGAAACAGTATAAGACGGGGCAGAATATTGTCACAGAGCAGAGAAGACGGGGGCTTGGAGATCTTAGAGGAGGAACTGACAGAAATGGAGGAGAAATAGTTCTGGAACTGCTCAAGGAGGGAGAGAGAGGCTACTTACAAGTTAGAGAGGTTTTGCCCTTCAGGGAAAGTAGAGAGAGCTGTCACTACAGTTGCTGCAGTGGAAATGGGCCATGAAGATGTGGAAAATTAGAATAATTTGTTTTTTTTCAAACACCCGCAAGTATATAAATATATGCACATTAGCATAAATAATTATGGAAATATATGGAGATTTGATCTCAAGCTTTCTTAAGGCCCCATGCAGGCAGCACTGGTAGTGAGAAATAAACTCCTTGTGAGAGCATAAATGTATCTGACAATTAGCAACTGAGAGAGAGGATGTTAGAAAGATTTATGTTCAAGTTCAGATCCTAACATTTTTTCAAGTATCAAAGCCCTTTTTTGTTAAAAGCCCAGAGACGTAACTGTTCCATCTGCAGAACCCATCTGAAGTCAATGAGAGTTGCCTGTGCAAAATGCTAAACCCTCAGGTGATATCAGGGAATTTGTGTATCAGTACTGTAATATAGGCTACAGCAGTCCATGAGATGAATCTCCAGAACAATGCAGCATGCCACGGCCATAGAACAATCTCAAATGCCTATCCAGTTGCTACAGTAGCATGCTACTCTGCTGGTTGTCTAACACAAAGTCATGATCACAATTATAGGAAATAGCAAAGAAGACAGAGATGGGAAATGAGCCAATGCTGATCAGATTTGCCTGGCTCTTGTATTGCTAAATAAGGGAAATCAACTACTAAGTGTCCCCAGCAAAGACCAAATTCATTCTTTCTGTGGGGTGTCAGGGGACAAGGAGCAGGGGGGGGTTGGATGGGTTGGGAGTTCTGAGGGGGGCAGTCAGGGGACGGGAAGTGGGAGGGGGTGGATAGGGAGCAGGTTGTTTGAGGAGGCACAGCCTTCCCTACCCAGCCCTCCATACAGTTGCGCACCCCCGATGTGGCCTTGGGCCAAAAAGTTTGCTGATCCCTGCTCTAGTATATGATTGACCAACATCTTTTTGTAGTTGCACACTGCCATCTGCTGATATGATGAAGATACAACAATAGCTTATTGCAGATGAAAAAATGTAACATTTGGGAAGTAAATTCTATTACTGACTCTCATTTACAACAAAGTACAGCTAAATCATTCCTCTTCTTGTGACTTGTGGAAAACATTGGGTTATTTAAAGCAAATTTACCGAGGTGCTGTATGTAGCAAAAGCACAAAAACATTGTTCTAACCTTTTCTATTTAAAAGGTGACAAGTTATTCGATACAAAAAAAAATTCAAAATAATAAACTACTAATTCCAAATACTCAGAAAAAAGACCAAGTGGAGGTGAAGAACATGAGAGACGTAGAAACTACATTTCTACAGAAGACCTATGCCTTAGCAACCACAATTCTTGTACCTCAAAATAGACCTGGCTGAAAGAGCAGCTTAAGAACCGTTTACTCTCCAGCCTTAGGATTTCTGCAAAGATAACATTTTCACTAGGGCTGGGAGATACTGGTATTATTTAAAACTAATTATTAATGGGAAAGTTAACAGGATAATCACAATTTTGAGATCATTTCTAAGAACCCACAGCAGGCAAGACAGATCCAGATTCAGTTCCGTTTGCGCCGCCAGAGCAGTGCAAACGTTATGGAGAATTCTGTAGGGCCAAATTCTGTTCTCAATTGTCCAATTATACCTGGTCTACACTTACAGCTTAAGATGCCATAGCTACAGCACTCAGGGATGTGAAAAGTCCACACCTCTGAGTACCATACCTACACCAGTCAAACCCCTGGCATTAATACAGCCAGACCGACAGAAGAATGTTTCCGTCAGGTAGCTGCCACTCATTTGGAGAGGTGGAATCACTACAGTGACAGAAAAGCCCCTTCCATTACTGTAGTCTACACCTACACCACAGGCTTACAGCAGCATAGGTACGGGGCCATAGCTATGCTGCTGTAGAGGCTGCAGAGTAGACATGGTCTCAAGCTAATGTTGATGCACAGCTATTCTGGATTTACAACAGTGTAACTGCGATCAGAAAAGACCCAGAAATTATTTTCAACATGCCTCATACCTTAAAAAGGTAGAACTTGTGGTCCTCTTGTTGCCCAAGCTTCTCTTGTAACCTTAGTATTAAATGTATGACCTGCTCTTTGCGCGAAGCTGTGATGAGAGGTTCTGCTTTTCGGATTTCTTCTACTAAGGCGCCTACATCTGTGCTACAGTGGATGGAAAAAACATGCATCATCCACTGGCAAACAGTTACGATAAACACATTATTTACTTACAGAGAGTGAGAAAATAAGCAGTCAGATGCGACACTGCTATTTTATTCTGAATAAGTTTAAGCAAAACCAAAATATAAATACTTTTAAATATGTTTTATTGGTTTCTAATTTATTTTTTATCTTTCAGAAAAAAAATTACATTTGACTTTTTAAAACTGTAGTTTTGCAGACACCCTTCACTTTTCAAAGGATTCCACAGAGGGTGTAATACAGCTAATACCCAAATGACACTTTCAACCTTTAACACTAATTTAGTCTTAAATCGAAGCTAGAACCTCTTGATAGGTAAAAAGCCCAACAAACAGCAACAATATTGTTATGACAGGATTAAACCTTGTTATGGGCTGAGTTAAATCCTCATTTGAAACTGATGGGTATGAATGTGCCCTTCATTTAAGATAGCTGTAAGAGACAGCTAAAGGGCTACACCTAAAACAAAGCATATGAAGCCTGCCCAGAAACTAGCACTATGTGGGTGGAGGGTTCCACTGGGTATTGTTTTAGTGTTTGTGGGTGGGTGTGGAAGCTGGGGTGCAACAAGAAACTGAGAGATTCAGAGGAAGAGCGAGCAGTGGCAGATTAGCCGCTGAGCCAATGGAGCCCATGCCCAGGGGTCCCGGACAATTGGAGTGCCAGGTGGGCGGAGTGGGGCAAGACCCCACGCCCCAACCCCATTTCCTCAGCAGAAGCACTAGAGGGCTCCAAGGGGGCAGGGGGCTGCAGGCAGAAGTGGTAGGGAGGGACTTGCTCTGGCACAGGGCCCCGCGAAACTGTAATCCATCTCTGAGAGCAAGAAATGCCAAGCAGCAATCTCGAAGCACATTGAGGCCCTGGGAGACGCCTGGAGAGATTCCAGTTTGGTGGTGGTGGCTGAAAGAAGCTTGGGCCTGTACGCTAAGAAACTATTCCTTTAGGGTTTGATTCCTCCTGTGTTCGGAGAAGGACTTTGTACATTCTTTGTAAATAAACAAGATTGCACCAAAGAAAATACCAGACTCCATCATCAATTTCTTCTCTCATCTGGAATAACGTACAAGGCCCCAAACTTTGACTAGTCACTCAGGTCAAAAAGGGGCAACAAAATGAACAAAAGATTAAAGTTCACAAACAGAAATCACGTTTATAAAATCTAACTATTTTTACATGTTTTCACAAATCTAAGGCCTAATTCTGCAGCTCTTACTGCTGTAAGTAATCCATATGTCCATGGGTAGTCTTACTGGGTAGGCTTAACGTTCTGTTGGTGTATTTGGTGTATAAACCATCAGGTTCTACAGGAGATTTTGCAGCTGGGTTTCTCTAGACAATGTGTATGCTGATCTTGGCTCAGATGAGACAACTATATCTTCCTGTAAGCAATGTGACTTGTTGGATTTTATTCAGAGTATTGAGAAAAGCTCCCAGACGTTCAGTCATCTGCTCAGCCTTATCTTTGAGTTTGGTGTGAAAATTATGAATGTGCAGGCCACCCTACCCATCAATTCATGTGTTTCGATTGAGACACTATTCTACCAATATCAGCACTGGACATGTCTTATTTCTTTGTGGACTAAATCTAATGAATCTTGTGGATTTTGGTGTCCTCCTTACTGGTGCTGGGGCATATCTGACTTCTCTCTCTGCACCACTTCCAGACAGAGTCAGCTGATTTCAATTAGTTCACTGACAGCTACCATCAGCAATGTAATATGGCCCTTGGCTCTCATAATATATTAGTTCTTGTGCCTGGCAGCCACCAGATTTAACAATGATCTGAGGCACCTGAAGCAACTGAAACAGGTGGGAGAGGAAATGGCTGAAATCAGCATGAAGTCTGATTATCTTCTCTATAGGACTCAATGGCACACAGAGGTGCTAGCACTCAACCATAGATTGCACAAATCACCTGAAGGTCAGTGGGCAAAACTACCAACCGGAACGGTGAATAGCCCCTCGTGCATGGGTTTGTGGAGCACCTTTCTACCTCCTCACAATCACATCCAGTAGAACTCTCCCAGTTAGTGCGACGTCTAATGCAGACTGATACCTTGCCAAACTACTATGTTCCTTCAATTGATCACTGTGGTGAGTGTGTCACACTCGTCACAGAAGAAACAGATCTTCAGGCTGGTGTCTTCCACCCTTTGAGAACCAGAGCTGCAGCTCCTGATGATCTGTCTACCATAGTTAGGTTCCATTTGGCCTCTGATAAGGATATCCATGTCCCCTGTGTTATCCAAGAGCCCCCCATCTTCACTCTAAACTTGGCTGTGAAACAGACTTCCTTTGTAGTCATAGCAATGGCCCTATTTTCAGAGATGCTGAGCACTGACAGCTCCTACTGACCTCTGTGGGAGTTGCTCAGCACTTCTGAAAATCAGGCCATACACCTTTCTTCCATAGGACCCACTGCCACTGGCTAAACTCCTATTAACTTCAACAGGAGCAGGCACTCAGTTTACCCATCTAGATTATTAATAGTATTTTTACTTACCTATCTCACAGTATTGTTGTGAGGATTAATTAATTAGTGAGACTGAATCTGAACTCATTTATACCAGTGTAATTCAAATGTCTTCAGTACAGCTGATTTCAAGCAGTGTAACTGAGAGCAGAATCAGGCCCATTGATGAGAAACATTCTGAAGATAAAAGATGCTACTGTACAGAAGTGCTAAATATTGTTAATTACAACATTACAAATTTGTGCCACCTGAAAATTCTGCATTTTTGCTGGTTAGTAACCACAGTTTGTGGACATGCCTTGATGTGACAGGTCTGTAAACAAAAGCATTTCCCACCTCCACCTCCTGACACTGCATCAAGAATTGCAACAGAAGAATGATCAGTCAGAATGTAGGATTTCTTAATGCCCTCAAATAATTAGAAATATTAAGAGAACAAAAGTTAACCCATAAGAGAAAAAGTTTGTCCCAAATCACGTTTACAACAACTGAACAGAGTTGTACATAACCTACTATTAAGTTGTCCTGTAAAATAAGGTATATTTCTGCTGTCTAAAATAATATAATACTTACCCAGGACTGAGATCAAGTAAATCTATGGATTTGGTCTTCAATTCACCACCTTGAACATATTCCAAAATAATCCCTTTGAAGAAACAATAAACAATTCTAAATTAGAAGTTCATCATGGCAGCTGGCTTTTTTTGGGGGGGTGCATACTATTTGACATTTACATTGATATAACCACATTGACTTCAATAGAGATGCTCCTGATTTACATCATTCTTATCAAAACCAGAATCAGGATGACATCATTTCTTTCTTTGGGATTGGCAGAGTGCATGAGTGCATCTGCTATGTTAACTTCTCTATTTGCAAAAGTCTACATGCAGAACTGCATATAAAATTGCATACCCAGGTTTGGGTAGACTCTGGCACTTTTAAAAGATGTATTTTGAACTTTAGAATTAAGATATTTGGCCACATCACTTCCTGTTTAAAGAACTACTTGGGCATTTTGCCAGGTTTGCGAGCAAATGTTTAATTTGGCAGAAGGATTTATCCTTTCCTGACATTCTGAGCCTCCTCGCTTATCTCTATTTTTCATTTTTAACTATTTATCAGAGAAAGTTGATCCCAGAAAAAGAGAAGAAAGAAAGTTCCTAAACAGACTGACACCAAACTTTATTCTATTATTATTATTATTATTTATCAAATTCCTGGCAAGATTGTTTCCTATAGTAAACCGCATATTACCTCAATGCTTCTGTCATGAATACATTTGATAAGACACACAAAAATTTGTAATTATTGAATTTCCTACAATAGGTTTACATTTACTTTGCAGCCGTTTCCCTGGGGGCTGGTTCTTCTTTCACATCAGTTTGACACAGGTGTAACTCCACTGGGCTCAGTGGTATAAACCTCAGTTAATACTGGTATATTTACACCAGAATTAACAGGGGGTTGTATTTAGTCTACAACATCCCTTTAGTTATGTTATGACTCAAAACCTCCTGCAGCTAAGGTAATAAATCTCTTCAGGATTGTTATGCAGTCATTGAAAATATTTAGGGAAGAGGGGAAACATGTCCCCAACCGCACATTATGTAAATTTGCAGTAATACAAATATTTTTAATTGCAAAAGCAAAAAACCAACAGCACTGAGAAGATTTCCCCCTTCAGACATTTTGCAATAGATGATCAGACAGCAAAGCTGCTGAGAGTCAGGGTACACAGGACAGGCTAAGCTCTTAGGAGCAGGGACCATCTTTTGTTCCGTTTGTACAGTGGGGTCCTTTTCCATGACTAAGGGGTCCCACTGCTACAGAAATACAAATAATACATAACAGTCCCATGAATAGGCACAGAAATGATTGCTCAGGAGATTTAGATAAAAGGCAGAGGGAATAGCTAAACCATCTTCATAGCAGGAGAGATAAGTACAAAGGTTTCTGTGAAGGCAGCTTGGAGCCGGACAGCCCTGCCACAGTCCTGTGCTCCTCCTCTGCTACCCATTCATTCCTGACTCCTTCTCCCATCTGCTATCTCCTCCTCCCATCCCAACAACACTGAGCCCTTCCTCTGTTCCCACCAACCCACCCCCCCATCAGCTCCTCTCTACCCTTCCCTCCGCCATCCTGAGGCTGTTCCCCCCAGTCACCCCTCTCTGCCCTTCCCGCGCCACCCTATAGCTGTTCCCCCCCATCACCCCTCTCTGCCCTTCCCGCCATCCTGGGGCTTTTCCCCCAGTCACCCCTCTCTGCCCTCCCCCCCCCATCCTGGGGCTTTTCCCCCCAGT